TTAAGATTTCCATGTTGTTTGTGATTTTAGATAGGAAAGCTAGTAGAATTCATTTATTTAACAGCTGGGAATACAGAGATGAGTAAGACACAGTTCCTGCTCTCCACATGCTTTGTCTGGTACAAAGATGCCGACCTTAAACAATAAAGGAGAAACTTGGAATCATTTTAAACAGCATCTTAACAAAAGTCAGATGTGCATTTTTGTAAAGACTACCTAGGACCTGCGGGAGAGACGGGACAGAGAGCTCAATAGGAGACTGACACACAGTCCCGGGGACTGGGGCTTTGCCCTTCTCCTCTCACACTGAGGAGCTGGGTCCTGGCTGAGCTTGCTTCAGCCTCCTCAGCCGATTTCCTGTCTCCCCACACACACCCTCACACCCCCCCCCCTTTTCCAGTCCTCTTTCATTCTCAGTGATCATATGATGCTCAGTGATCATCATATGGGTTCCTTTTGTGTCATAGACAGGAGCCAGTCTGAAACCGTTAACAAGGTGTCCTTATTTTCTTGTTTAGCAAATAAGACCTGGTGCTCCTTTTATCCACAAGAGATGGGTGAGCCTTCATTTTAGGGGACAAGACTTGAGTTTTCTGTTGATACTTTGTTGTTGGAAGGTTTACAGAGTTCTGTGGTAAAAATACCTTTCCTCCAATTTCTTAAAATTAAAAAAAAAAATTTAAAAGAAATTAGTTTAAAAGTGTTTACATATTATAAATATAGAATTCTCATTATCCTGTTTAGGTAGCTATTTTTTTCCCTAACTATGTTTATTAAGATAGAGTTGGTTTAGGGCCCTCCCTGGTGGTGCAGTGGGTTAAAGCACAACACAAAGAAGCTTAAACCACTTCCTCATGAGTTCGATCCCAGAAGAGATCCACATGGCGCGGCAGACCTCTCCTGACCTGCCCGCTGCTTGCCTCAGCAGTGTACTTCATCCATTTGTCTGTTCTGTACCCTACTCTGTCTCTGGTGAATCCTCTTACCCTCCGCATCTCTGGCCTGTACCCCAGTTCTATACGAATAAATAAATAAATAAATCTTTTAAAAAAAAAAAAAGATAGAGTTGGTTTATGTCATAGGAGATCTCAGTTCTCTAGCTGGGTTTTCTTCTCCTGATTTATAACTGGCCAACTATTTGAGAGGGTAGGGTAAGAGCACACACTCAAATCTTCAAAAGTAACGATTACAGCCAGAAAGTATATCAAACTTCGTTGTTTGAACTGCCAAGGAAGCAATTACTTCCTATTATAATTTTCTTCTCTTTCCCTACTTACTCTTACTCCCCCTAAATTTTAATCAAAGCCAAATGTTCCAGATCAGATGACTTTTTGCCCAAATGTAAATACATTGTTTGCCAAAAACCCTCAGAGAATGAGCAGTATTGACTGGTTAGTTACTATTTTCCACAGCAAGATCACAGTCATGATTTACTTTGAGATTTTATCATTATAAGTTATTATAGTTAAGCTACATTTTTGTCTTTTACCCAAATAAACAAGTCACTTACTTAAACCTCCTGGGGAGGCTTAAGAGTGATAGTTACATCTTGTTTTTTAAGTACCATAATACAAAGGACTGTTTAGAACTAGTCAGGTTATGGTAAATAGCTATTAACTCTGGAATAGAAACCTAGTATTATACTTTTTACAGACTGGTTTATACTTGTCCATTTTATTTTGAAAAGGATTGCAAGCTATTGGGCTAGGCAGAAAGAATTTACTGTCCTTAGCACTTTTAGAGAGTTTAAAGAGTTGCTAAGAATTCAAAGGTTAACTTTATGGGAAAGATTAAAAAAGTGGCCATTTCTACTAGTTTTACCTAACTGACTTAGAGAGTTAGAAAGGGAATTTTAAACTGAGCTCTCTTTTAAAAATTAAAGAACACTGAAGCTTTTTCCCCACTGTGGACTATGCAGAGGACTTAATATTGCATTATTGTAAAGCTAGAATCTGCCAGATAATATTAGATAACTTCATGTCTTCAATTTCATTGTAGCAAAGTGACTACTTAGTTAGGCTATCATAAAACTGGTGAGTTTATGTGAGAGGGGAAAGGTGCTGCTTCTGTTACCTTAATGTATGTGATTGTGAGCTTGTGGAGACCTAAATAGTTGCGACTACATTCTGGGGGTCATCCTAAATACTTCTGTGCCATCAAAGTTTCTGCCAGTTTTTTGTTTTGTATTTTTTCGAAACTTTTTTCGAAACTTTTTCTTCACCTCTCATGTGGAGTTACTCTAGTTCATGACTATTTTATTTGGACTGCTGTATCAATTTACTAACTCAAATCCATTCATGTAGCACCAGTGACAGTGTAGAACAGTAATCCTCAAACTATTTTGTGTCCTTAGTAAGAAATATTTTATATGGCAACCCGAGGCATGTGTGAATAATTGAAACAAATGTTTCAGGAAAAACAAAAATCTTACATTAACTATGTACATGCAATCTGTTTAATTTTTTTTTCTATTTCATTAAAAAGAATGTTGTTTCCCTTCCACTAAATGATTAGTTTGAGTAACATTGAATACTGTGACCATATTATTCCTGTGTAAAATTCTTTGCATAGCTTCTTAATATCTTTATGATAAAGCTGAAACTCCTTTATGATAAAGGGTCAGAATGTCAGAACATTTATTACCTGACCGTATCTCTTTACTGGGCCTCACATTTCATTTCAATAAATCAGTACTACTTTTCATGGCTCCTTGTAGTGTGCCTTTGTTTATGATGTCTGCCCTGTTGAAATTGTACCACATGCGCTTCTATAGAGCTTTAGTGATTCACTCCTAAGACTAACATCAGACAACAATAACCAAGTTTTCCCACCTCTTTTCTCTGCCACTGTACCACATTAGGTAGTTCTTTGTTACACATATTTCTGTTTCATCTGCTTATCGCTGTGTCTTACCATCCCACAAGACAGTACATATTTGAGAAAACATATTTGAGAAAACAAATAAACTTAAGTTTAACAGGGGATGTAACACATCATTATTTGGATGGATTATGAATAAGATTCTTACATTAAAAAGAAAATCCAATCAGTATTCCTTATGATCTTTGGCTTTGTGGTTACATTTCTGTGTTTGGGATAGGCTTTCATATACTCATAATTTGATAACCTAGGGGCATAGCTCATGATTTAAGGACAGACTTTCTGCTTTAGATATTTTCCCCAGATTTCAATAATTAACAACTCACTGAGGGAACAGTATATAATTTCATGATACCTAATATTATACTGAAGTTTGCAGACTAGCAGAAAACAAGTGACATAGAAGACCTTAGGTCAATAAACAGCTGAAATTTGCCACCTATGCATTATGATGACTCTGCTTGGAATTGCGTCCAAGTTATGTAATGCCTGAGATGAAAAATGAGTTGTAGTATAGCTGTGGAAATATTTCTCTAAGGCAACATGGCTGTGACACTCTGCCAAGTTAGCCAACTACATTTTTGTCTGGTATCAGCTGGATTCTGCTTTGAATCCAGAATTCTATAGAATTCTGATAGAAGTAAACACGCAACATAGAAGAAGGTGGGATAAAATGTAGCTTGTTTTTGGCCATGGCAGGCACCAGTGGGGTGCGTGAATCTCCTGGTTCCAGCCCGTAACAGGTGCTAGTGTGGATTCTTGGAATATGAATTAGGTACTTTAATCCTTTCACATCCCTACTCCAGCCAGCAACAAAGATCCATTTCCCCATGTAACACTCTTCTCTGTTTGAAATCTATGGAATATTTTCCCTCGTCCCAATACAATCATTAAAAAATTTGAGGCTAGTCAGCTGTGTAGCTTGCCTTTGTGTCTATATGACCTTGAGTGACTAGCATGTTACTGTTGGTGAGTAATCCAGACACTACTGAAAGTCTGTAATGTGGCAACAGTCCAACATTTTGGTGTATTTGAAATGAAAAGGTGATTTTAAGACTTATAAAGAATTAGTTGCTGCGTAAATAACATGTTACCAGATTTCAATGATTTGGTTTTCTTACCAGATTAGAAATGACACTTTGATCATGTATTGCTTATAGACTAGCTGTAATGAATCCCATAGAATGTTGGGATTTGACCCTCTGATGATGAGTACTGTAACTTGTCTCTGCTTAAAATTTTAATCATTTTCATGCTTAGTGAAATAAGCCAGAAAAAAAAGGAAAAATACCAGATGGTTTTGCTCAGCAGAAGTATAATGGACCAGGCAAGAAAATAATAATAATAATGAACAACTATCTGCCAGAGACATTTTACAGGGATGGAGTGAGGAATGGGATCAAAAACATTGGGGGGAGGGAAATGCACTGGACTATGGGTGCATTTGGTGATGGCACATGGGTGATTTGGTGATGGGAAGCCCATGGTGATTACAACTAAGATGAAAAAATGCACAAAATGATGTAAAAATAAGCTATTATATTTTTTAAAATTTTAATCATTTGGTTCTATAGTGGTAAATTCTCTAGAAGGATAGGATTATAATAACAGGCCCTGGATAAATGGACTTGATTTCTATCTTATGGCTTTTCTTCTTGCTGGAATTGTTTAGATTGATAAGGAATGCAATATTGTTCTAACATTTTCTCAAGTCCTGTTCAGTCTGTGAAAAATCAGTATATCTATCATGAATGAGTAAATAACTAATTTAAATATTTTTGTGTAGCCTGGAACAGGTCTTTGAATTACAATATGTCACTGAAATTAACCAAATTGTCATTGTTCTTTCTCCTATGTTTCCTTGTAATATAGAAGAATTTTGAGTTTTCTTTCCCTTTAATAATCATGTTTGAAATCTAATGCTTCTAGTTTTGAGTACTATGATATCCTATTATTCTATTTCACATATTTAAATTTATATTTAAGTATATTAAAACTTAGCCCTAAGTATATTAAACTTAGAGACTAATATTTCAGGAAACTATTGAGTTCTCAGTGTCTCAAGTTTAAACTTGGAAATCTGAAACTTACAACCTAAAACAATGTTTTTCTTCCTAAAGCTCTTTCACCATGCCTGGGTCACTTCCTTTGAATGCAGAAGCCTGCTGGCCAAAAGATGTGGGAATTGTTGCCCTTGAGATCTATTTTCCTTCTCAATATGTTGATCAAGTGGAGTTGGAGAAATATGATGGTGTAGATGCTGGAAAGTATACTATTGGCTTGGGCCAGGCCAAGATGGGCTTCTGCACAGATAGAGAAGATATCAACTCTCTCTGCATGACTGTGGTCCAGAATCTTATGGAGAGAAACAGCCTTTCCTATGACTGCATTGGGCGGCTAGAAGTTGGAACAGAGACAATCATCGACAAATCAAAATCAGTGAAGACTAATTTGATGCAGCTCTTTGAGGAGTCTGGAAATACAGACATAGAAGGGATAGACACAACTAACGCCTGCTACGGAGGCACAGCTGCTGTCTTCAATGCTGTCAACTGGATTGAGTCCAGTTCTTGGGATGGTCAGTTACATACCTCTACATCAGAGACTCGTATAGTATTTATTGTGTTGATCGTCTCATTGTGTACTAACAAAAAATATTTTTCAGGACGTTATGCCCTGGTAGTTGCAGGAGATATTGCTGTATATGCCACAGGAAATGCCAGGCCTACAGGTGGCGTTGGAGCCGTTGCTATGTTGATTGGGCCAAATGCCCCTTTGATTTTTGAACGAGGTGAGTGTTTGGGAAAGCATGTTTTTTTTATTACCAAAGTAAATGAGAAAAAGTACCTTTCCTGTAGTCAGACATTAAATAGCAAGTTTAATTTGTTTTCAGTTCATTAGTGCAACTATTAAATTTATTATTAGAGCAATCTAACAGTTGCGCTAATGAACTGAATCCTAGTTAGATTTATGAAACTTGCATGAACTTGCGTGCAGTTGCTCTATCAAAGGAGTCTTAGACATGTCCGTGGGAACCCTTCATGTTTCATTTTCATTACATTCACCTTGTGACAGTCACACGGCAGGTGGTGGGAGGTGGCTAGGTAGTTAAGAAAAAGCCCCAGATGACACAGTATATTTCCTAACACACAAACATCAGGCAGCAGATCTACACAGACACCTTTCTTTTTGATTCTAATAGGACTCCGTGGGACACACATGCAACATGCCTATGACTTTTACAAGCCTGATATGCTTTCTGAGTACCCGATAGTGGATGGCAAGCTCTCCATACAGTGCTATCTCCATGCCTTAGACCGATGCTATTCTGTCTACCGCAAAAAGATCCGTGCCCAGTGGCAGAAAGGTGGGTTTGATCTGTTTTTGTTGGTTTGGTATCTGTTGAGGACAGTGTGATGTGCTGGGTGTCTTCAGAGAAGAAATGGTTCTGGGACACTAATGAAGGAGGCTCAAACTGCCTCATGGGCTTCTTTCATTAGTGTCCTAGAACCATTTCTTCTCACACATAAGTAGTGTTTTCCTGTAGTTTCTGGGGAGCTATAATTTACGAGATGTGATAAGCTTTGGGAAAAAAAATCTCTGCAAAAAATACTTAGTTGACCTACTCTCAGTAAGAAAATCAAAAGTAGGGTAAAAGACTCTTTTTAAAAAGAATAAAATGACTTCCATTTTATTTATCTTTTGAGAGATACTTTCTACTCTGACCCAGGGAAAACTCATGAAAATAAATTACTGAAGTGATCCTTGCATAGCTCGAGCGCATCTTTACTTATTTCAGTTTCATCATTAATCTCCATCTTTAAATAAGTTCTTGAGATGGTATTTGGATTCATGCTATTAAAGCACATAGTATCATGAAAGTATGCTTTTCCCATAGTCTAGAAAAAGCTCTATGTGGATTGTGAAAGAGAGTTAAAAATAATATTCAATAACAGGTGGCATGGAGGTTAAAGTCTCAGCTACCAAGCTATCACCAGCCATTGCAGAAGGAGTTCGAAACCCCAGGCAGGGAGCGGACTCATGTGGTGCAGCAGACCGCTCCTGTCTTGCCCATTGCTCCCCTCAGCAGTGTAGTTCAGTAGGTCTGCCTGCTCTGCACCCCACTCTGTCTCTGGTGAACCCTCTCACTCTGCCACACTTCTGGCCTATACCCCAATTCTTGTATGCATAAATAAATAAATCTTTAAAAAAATAATATTCAATAACAGATACTAAGAAACCTATTGACACTGAATAAGAATCATTCTTGCAGCCTGTAGTGTTGTACTGAGTGCAGTGTGATACATCCCTAATAGCACAGTGACTTTAGCTTTTTTTTTTTTTTTTTTAAAGATTTATTTATTTATCCATATAGAACTTGGGTACAGGCCAGAGATGCGGAGGGTGAGAGGATTCACCAGAGACAGAGTGGGGAGCAGAACAGGCAGATCAACAAAGTACACTGCTGAGGGGAGCAGCGGGCGGGTCAGGAGAGGTCTGCCACGCCATGTGGTCTCCTCCGGGGCAGGCGGGAATCGAACTCATGCGGAAGTGGCTTTAGCTTCTCAGTGCAGTGCTTTAACCCGCTGCGCCACCAAGGAGGGCCGACTTTAGCTTTTTTTAATTAGGGCGCTGGAAGAAGTACATTTTACATTCTTTGTGTGTGCTAAACTCAAACAAGTGTAATAAAATGTTTTTCTTATAAAATACTCCCATGCTGGAAATTATATAGTTTTCTGTTGTCTACGTTATCCTGTTTGATTTTTAAAACCTCACACTTATTAAATTGAAACATACTCACCTTGACTTACTAAATTTAGTAAACAACCAATAGGTTATGACTCTGAAGTTTGAGAAACTGTGATATAGTAGTGTTTGTTACCGCTAGTGTCCCTGTATGCATTTTAAGAGATACTCCAATATAAGGTATATTTTTAATTGCTATTTAAAGAATAAAAACATCCTAGTGCTAAAATCAAAATGCAAAAGTTAATGACTTATATGAATTCCATAATTTTTTAAAATTTTCTTTCAGAGGGAAATGATAAAGATTTCACCTTAAATGATTTTAACTTCATGATCTTCCACTCACCCTACTGTAAGCTGGTTCAGAAATCCCTAGCTCGGATGTTGCTGAATGACTTCCTTAATGATCAGAACAGAGATAAAAATAGTATCTATAGTGGCCTGGAAGCCTTTGGGTAAGAGGAATTGTTAATACTTTCTTACTTTCTGAATGAGAACATTTTTTAAATCTGGATAGACGGTTATATGTTCAGACCTGAAAATTTTAGGCAAAGGAATGGTGGCAGTTTGGATATGTCATTAATGAAGAAATGAGTCCCCAGGTGGTAGCGTGCCTGGTGAATTCTTTACTTGGGTTTCCCGATTTCCTCCCTTTTACTCCACTCCCAGTGCCCACATGATACTCTAGCCCTGTTTGTACTGCACTAGCCACTTAACGCCTCCTGACTCTAACCTGCTCCCTTTCCTGCCTGCTGCCACTACTGAAATCTGCATCATCTTCCCGCTACCATTTTTCCACTTTCCCAACAGGCTATGCGGGTTGAACTCATTCTGTTTCTCCTTGCCTGCACAAATGTCTTTTGATTCCCTTGCAGTGTTGCTCTTCATACTGACTGGGGAAAACAGACTCATACACTTATAGATTAGAATTTTAAGCCCCCACTATCTAATATAAAGGTATGGTCTTTGAACACTGTAAAATGTCTTTTTGTTTTTTCTAAATTTTTCAAAGGGATGTTAAATTAGAAGATACCTACTTTGATAGAGATGTGGAAAAGGCATTTATGAAGGCTAGTTCTGAACTCTTCAATCAGAAAACAAAAACATCTTTGCTCGTATCAAATCAAAATGGAAATATGTACACATCTTCAGTGTATGGTTCCCTTGCTTCTATTCTGGGACAGTAAGTATAAATTTCAGCTGTTTAACTTCCCTTACTTGGGAATGTTAGATTTCTAGATCAAATCTGGCATCAGGCTTGTTGGTGATTGGTCACAGGATGATATTTCATTTCTGGCCTCTATCCTATTGCCAAGTGACAAAGGATATTTGGGGTGAGGTTACATTTATTCCAGTGTTTTTCATATTGACTTTCCTGGCTGCTCTTCTCATGGTTTTATTATTCTTGAGCTGCAGTTGAACCATACATCTCTGGTTGACAAAGTCACTTATTTTATGATATAAAAACTTTCATAAAGCCCCATCATTTCCAAAGAGATGAAAATGTTTGTTTGTAATCTGCTTACTGTAATCACAAACTTTACATTAGTTCCTTAATTTTACCCCATTTTATGGCTTGCCACACATTTTAGTTTGGGATCAGCTTAGCTTTCCAGTCTTTTCTTTTCCCCATGCCCAGGTTTTCACCTCAGCAGCTGGCAGGGAGGAGGATCGGAATATTCTCTTATGGTTCTGGTTTGGCTGCTACTCTTTACTCCATTAAAGTTACACAAGATGCCACACCAGGTAAAAATGCGCGTCTCCCAGCATGACTTTAAGAGCCTATTCAGTGAGGTGCTTCAGTAAGCTTTTCAACAGACTCTTCCATAGATCATTCGCTTTTAATCTTCAGTAAGTACTTCTCTTAGCATAGCCCGATCTTACTTGGAAGAATAGAAGTATGTCTAAGTCAAGATAGTATCTTTCCTTTTTTTCAAGGCAGAAAACATCAACATAAAAATTTTTTAATGCCATAGTGTTAAGACTTTTCCTTCTTAGGCAAGTATCTTTATCTTATCTCATTTTTAAGCCTATGTAGGTAGGAGAAAGGAAACATCTATTTAATGCAGGCAGCTTTTGAGTTTTCACACTAATGACTGAGTATAATTATGAGTGACTAACACTAAATCTATCTAGCTTGATTTTGTACTAAGTTATCTAATTTTTATAGGTCTGTGGTCTTGTCTGCATTTAGGGAAGCTGTGTGCCTTCCCTGAGTATGAAGGAACAAAAACATGGAGAAAACTGAGGGAAGACAAGGCATGACTTTAAAACTGTATCATGGATGAACTATAGAAGGTTATTTATAGTTTTAAATCCCACCTGCTTCCTAACTTGTCTGCTGGTTGAGACCAAACAGTCTAGTCAGAGGTCATAGGAAACTATATCAGAAGCATCTTTAAACAGTAGGTAGTGCTAAAAGAAATGAAAGGTTTTCTATTTGGTGAGATTTTGTTCAGTCTTTTGGACATGTGATAGTCTTGTAATATTGAAATTATTTATGGTTTCAGGGTCTGCTCTTGATAAAATAACAGCAAGTTTATGTGATCTTAAATCAAGGCTTGACTCAAGAACTTGTGTGGCACCAGATGTCTTTGCTGAAAATATGAAGCTCAGAGAGGACACTCATCACCTGGGTAAACATATTGGCTTATTAATAAACATAAATATGTGCCCAGTAGCCTATTGGGTGCTACAGTAACATTAAACAGAATACATTTAATATAAGGCTATCTGGGTTATTCAGTACTTATCTGATGTATGTGAAAATTAAAGGGAAATATCTTAACTTTAGTCATATTACCAGATGAGTTTTGTATCATAATGTTTCATACTCTCTGCCTTTCCTCAGTCAACTACATTCCCCAGAGTTCAATAGATTCACTCTTTGAAGGAACATGGTACCTAGTTAGAGTGGATGAAAAGCACAGAAGAACTTATGCTCGGCGCCCCTCCCCAAATGACACTTTGAATGAAGGAGTAGGACTTGTTCATTCAAGCACAGCAACTGAGGTAGGTAAAGTTCATTATGTTTGGTCTTGTGTTTTGATAGGGTAAGAAATTTCCATCCTCAGATTTCAGGGCTTTTAGGAGTGCTAACTGAAATTTAGCAACTTAAAGGATTATTTATAAAGCAGAATCTCCGAGCAAGGGCTCTGGGGTTGGATTTGCATTTCCTAGTTGTATAATGTGCTTTGTGCTTACATTTAAAGTGCACAGTGAATACAAGGTTTTCTTAATATTATACCAAAATTAAAGGAAGTCTGATCTAGAAAGAAGGTTCACAGGGAGGCTATGTGTTGGTGAGAGGTGACATGGGGTGAGCTATTGAGCCCCTCACATCCTTCTCAGCCACTGTCAAATTTATCAAAAAGTAACAGTAATGGCTATGATTTGAATTGCTTTTATATACTAGGCACTTTGTGTATATTCCAAATTTAATCCTTATGTAAAAAAACAATAGGAGGTAAGTGCTACTACCCCCATTTTAGAGATGGGGCTACAGAAAATTAAATGACTTGACCAGGATCATGGCCAGTCTTCAAAAGAAATAACTGCAGTTATTTTTTATGTGCATCACAAATCTGCTGAATGCATAGTCTTGGTTCTTACTATTATACAAATTAGGTGGCAGATCAAGCTACTGGTGTTTGGTTATGAATAACTAAGCCACTCTGCGTGGTGGATCTCTGGGGCCTCCTGATTTGGATAATTATATAATAGATTACCAGTTGCTATAGATAGTGCCCTTCTATTAGTTATTTTATTGCAACTTTAATTTTTTGGAATCAACACCATTTTTCTTTGATTTCAGCATATTCCAAGTCCTGCTAAGAAAGTGCCAAGACTCCCTGCAACAGCTGCAGAATCTGAAGCCGCTGTCATCAGTAACGGGGAGCATTAGGATACTATGAGGAGGAAGACTTCCACGTGGTGGGTGGGAAGGGTGTATGTGGGAATGGTTGTGGGAATGGGATGTCTGGGGACAATTTTTAAGGATTTTTATGTTGCTTAAAATGTCATGTGACTGACATGGAGCCTGGAAAGCTGTAGTGTTCTTGGGAAAGTCTCTGCTCAATTTGCTATAACATGCTTCCTGTTGTGGTCTCGCCAGCGCTTACTGTACTCGAATGTTAAGGGCTTTGTAAAACTTCGTACCTCTCTGGCTATTTGTATGCATGAAGTTTAGTTTTTAAGTGTGGTATGATGAATTGTGTGCTTCTGGCAGAAAGCAGCAGAAGTACGAGTTTCCAATTTTAATTTTTTTAAACGTGTAAAAATTTTATACTTTGAACAAACTAGATGACTGAAAGCACCTGTGGTTTTTGAAAAAAGTTTCTAGTTTAGCGAACATGATCTTCAAATGTGATATGCACAATTCCCATATGGAGATGGCAAGACAGATGTGCCCTTTGTCCAAAATGTATACATCCTGAAGGGGGAAGAAGGAATTGAGATGGTAACAGTGTTTCTGAAAACTAGAGTGTTGCTGTGAAAACAAGCTAGCGGTGAGGAAAGTTACTGTAATGAGGAAAGTTACTGTAATGAGTGACGAGACCTGGGACATAGGGCCCTCTTGAAGTCTGGAAGTAGCCGTGGGCCTGCTCCCGAGTGAGTTCAAGGTGGATTATGTTGACCAACATTGAAATGTTATTGAAGCTGCATATGAGGAAGTTTGTATTGTTATCCCTCTTTGCACCTTATTTTGAAGAATAAATAAAGCATTTTTTGTGACTGCCTTTTTAAAATTTTAAACAAGGACATGGGCAGGGCATGATTAAGTTACTTATGCGTCAGTGTCACAAATTCAACTTAAGAACAACCTAAATTCATGGTGTAAGTATTCTTTCCCCCCTTTTTGTATCCAGCGAAAAATTAAAAGTACAAAGGAAATTTTTACATAGTATGACCAGCCAAAAAGACTATTCTACTTCAAAGTCTGGAGGTAGGATTCTTCAAGCACCTTAAAAAAACCTAACAAACTATCACATGGGATAAATAAGACAACTGGTTAGTTTTGTAGATCTTTTTGGTGCTGAACTATGACATGAGCCTTATAGATTGTAAAATAGAGATAGTTGGAACTAATGTACAGAACTACATTTTTTAAACTTTATTTGCAGTTAGATCTGTGAAGTTTCAGTTATCTAAATAAACTCACACAAATATGAAATGTAATGTTTCAAATTGCAAGGTAATATGTAATGTAGTGTTTGTAAAATACTCTTGTCTAATATTAACGAGTAGCATTTTGATTTGTACAGTCATAATTTGTTAAAATGACTTCATTTTAACATCCACGGATGTAGATTAATAATGTAAGTTCAGATTTAAAAAATGATGGGGAAACGGTGCATGTAATACTTTTGCAAGTATTGGGAGTTAGCTATGTTTTGAAAAGTTATTTAACTTTGGGGTATCAGGAAGTGGGTTTTCTCAAAGTCCATTGCCGGCAATGGGCAGGCCTAGTAATAATATTGGCACAGAGCATTAACTGTATACCTTATTAACAGTGAGGTGAATAACTTTGAATAAAATTTGAGAAATATTTCAAATATTTGAGTATTCTTTTTCCCTCTTGAGCTAATAATTTAGGCAAGAAATCAGCTAACATGCTATTTTTAAATATGGGCTTTCCCTTCAGGTCATTCACTAACTCATTTTTCATTAGATACCTGAAAACTCTACATAAGCCAGGGGCTTATGCTGAAAATCAGAAATAACTGAAATCAGAAATAACATTTACAAGGTATATCATCTTGCCTTCAAGAGCTATTCATAGTATGGAAGAATTTATTTTGGTAAAGTATTGTCCTAACACTTTAAACAAAGAAAGTAATTCCCAACGTGGGAGATAAGCATGTATAAACTACTATAAAGTTTTGCTGTGTTTTTCTAAAGCAACCTAATTATTGGAGGTTGGCTATTAATAAGAAAAGCTACTATAAAACTGTGCACTACCAGCTGAAGCCTCTGGCCTCATTTTTAAATGGACATAGTACTCCCTGGAGGTTTTCTAGAAAGAATTTTTGTAGTTACAGTAGTATTAGATTAGATCATCTCTAAGAACCCTACCAACTTTTTGGATTGTATGAATTAGTAATTAGACCAGATTATCTCTTATACTAGTCATATCTTGTCTGATTCAATACTCAGCAACAGTTTCTCTCTGTGTCATTTACAAAATGAGGTCATTGTTCCCTAAGGTCACATCTACAAATTCTAGGGTCCCAAAAAGACCTTTAAGTGTTCTATAGGTTCCTCTTCTCAGAATTTGCTTTCTCAACTTATTTACATTTCTCCCTCACTTTCCTTTTTTATCACTTCCTGGGTTGCTTATCTTTATGAACACTAGTGGAGAGAGTAAGTTTAACACTAGGTGACAGCTTAGCAAACCCTAAGTCAGATTTCTACCTCACAGAGAACTATCAGATAGTGAATCTGTATAGTCTTAAGTCACTAAGTTTGTGGTAACTTGTTAATGATGACATCAGCAGTACAGTAATGCACTGTTGGTAAGCAGGGGGCTGATAAGTCCCACATCACAATTATAACCAAGACTCACCTGCAGTGAAGGTAGAAGATGACATTTTGGACTATGTGGGACCTGTGGAGCTTGAGCTTTGTGGGGATAATGATAAAGATGTGGCATTAGAATTTTATTAACTGCTTTGGATAAAAATGACAGGCTCAAGTCAGCCAATGATTCAAGGCAAATTGAAAGCCAGAGAGCCTTTAGGGCAAGGATTAAGGAGAGCCTCATCTCCTGCCTCATGGGCAACTACCCAAAACAGGCCCAGAATCTAATTGAGATAAAGTACTCAATAAGTACAATTCCTTAGCTGAGGCCGGGCCTTGACAGGAAGACACTGGGGCCTAAATAACATTAGGGTGGATGAACCTGGCAGTGTTGAAAGCCAGGATTACCTCAGATGAGCAGATCAGTCTTGCCTGAAGGCCCTTCTAAGGCCACAAGTGAAGTAGATGTTTGCAAGATCACTCAAGAAACAACTGGGCGTTCAACACTACCTGAGGGAGCATAGAGCTCTGAGAAGAAAGCTGAGACAGAAGGAACTGCAGAACCACGGGAAATGTGTGCCTATGAGGAGACCTGAAGATACTGGGTTGGGTTGGAGGTTGAGGAAGAATATAGAGTTGACTTATCTGTGACGTGGAGTGAAGGACACCTGAAGTTCTCCCGGGGTGGCTCCCGAGGTCTGAGTCACAATCAAACGCAGAGGTGGGTGACTGCCATGGTGTAGTGCTAAGGGATGGGATGGGAAGTTCTAGGAGGTGTGAATGTTAGAATGGATCTGTGATGTGACACTGAAAAACCACCTAATTCCAGTCCCCAGGAGGACAATGCTTTCACTGAGGTGATTAAGAATACTTGGGGGCTCTCCCTGGTGGCACAGCAGGTTAAAGCACTGCATTATGAAGCTCTCCTAAGTAAGTGCAGCATGAGTTCAATCCCCAGCCAGGGAGCTGACCCACATGGCGCAGCAGACCTTTCCTGACCCGCCCGCTGCTCCCCTCAGCAGGGTACTTTGTCAATCTGCCTGTTCTGCTCCCCACTCTGTCTCTGGTGAACTCTTACCCACCACACCTCTGGCCTGTAAGCATAAATAAATCTGGCCAGTTCTGTAAGCATAAATAAATCTTTAAAAAAAAAAAAATACTTGGGAGGAGCTCATTGGCATCTTCAAAGGGCTCAGAGCTGGCTGTGTACCACAGGTGAGGGCAGGCAGCAGGCAGTGCTGCCATGGATGTGGGCATGCTGCCCTCAGTGGGAATGATTGGATTCTGGAATGGCAGAAGCCAAGTGTTTACTGTCAGAGACAAGGTGGTGGATGTAATGTGGTCAAGCTGGCGTGGAAATCAAGATGCTTTGTTCTGGAGGAGGAGGGCTTTGTGACAATGACTAATAGATCTTGAGGTTCTAAGTGATAGCTGGCTAGAGCATTACTTGACTTGTGTAATGGAAAAATGCAAAGATGCAAACCAGCCACCAAAAAGCTGATACGGCCTGTCATGCTGAGAACACCACAGTCCTGCATCTCACTAATTCACAGACCCAGCGCACAGTACAGCTGACCCTGAACAACAAAGGCTTACTCCCCGATGTGGGCCCCAAGGATACAGTAACCCAACTATCAATGTGTAGGCTTTCCACTGCTAGAGGGGTAGGAGCCGGCTCTAACACTCCTTCTCACCCCCAGTTGGTTAAGTTCAACCCTGGATTTTAAATTTATGCCTGTGGCAGTAGTCATTCCTCTGGAGTTCCCATGCACTCTTGCCCCTGGGCCATGTTAAATCTGCTCTGTGTCACAGTACAGTCTACGAGGACCTTAATCATCTGGACACTCTGCAAAGCTACGTCGTGCTGGTCCACCTTACTGTGACAGGTGGATGTGGCATCAGAAAATGTCAGGAACTCCAGGTGCCCAAGATAACTTAACAGGTGAGGAACTCCATGACAAATCAGAGGCCTGCCACATTAGTGAAGAGTTTAGGAGACGCAACGTGGGAGAAGCCTAGATACGCCTTCTAGGTAAAGGACAGTTGGTTGCAACTTATACCCCTTAGCCCTGAAATAGAGGGCTGGTTTTGATAGGACTCTGCATTTCAGAAGCACAAATCTTGTACTTGATATATTCCTCTCCTACCCACATACCAGGCCTGACAGTTTCAAGTGGATCTCTCTCACACACACACAATCTATAGCAGTTTCAAACTGCAGTGCAAGCAGCATTGCTACTTCAGCAGAATAATGGAAATTAAAAACACATCTCCAGGAGATTCCAGCACAGCTCTGCAGGGGCCTCACTTGAGACAGAGAACTGTTTCGGCTTCTGGCAGGCTACAGATGCTCCCTCCTAGAGACTGATCTCCTGATTATGGGACTTTTAGGAGCTCAAGAGACATATCTGTCTCCTCAGAAGACACACAAACTCAAATTCCGATAGGTACGGCAGAGATTCATCCTTACTAAAATTGACAACCCTCAGGAATGGGGTTTGCTGTTCCTACCTGCAGGGTGTCCTCCAGTACAAGCGTGCTGTGACGTGCAGGCCACTGATCCGCCATCATGGTCTCTCCCATAGCATTGCCTCAAGACCTTTTTGGCAAAGGGGCTGTTGGCAAACGCAGCAGTCAGAGCAGGCGGGAGCGAGAGACCAGCAGGTAAGAAAGCTTCCCAGCCCCCCATGAATCTTTATGCTGTCTCTGGCGTTCTCTCTCCCACGTCATCTCACGGCCCTGCCTCTTCTGCAGTCACACCACTCATCTCCCTGCTGCTGCCGCTGCTGATTTTACCCAGCCTCTAAGCTCAGGTGTACACACTTACACAAGCGCGCATACCCACTCAGTGTCTTCAATCAGGCCCGTGCCCATGCTCCCGGGTGCCTTCTACAGCAACACGCTCAAGGCCTCAGGTGATAGCCATAGAGGCTAGTGGTGCAAAAAGCCTAATGAATTCATTTACCCTACAGAGGTGGGGCAGTGGGCACACACCCACAGATCCAGGTATTGATCTCAATGCCTACCCTGACACCAGAAACAGCCTGCATAAATGAAATGATGGAATGGGCAGCCAGGGCACCAGTGACCAGATAGTACCTTGAAGGTCATCCTCCAGGAGTTGGGATACAATGGCTGACACATTCCCCTACTGTTAACATGCGCAGGCCTGGGAAGCCGAGGGTAGAGTAGGACTGACTTCTCACTCTCACAGCCAGTAACCCACTAGAGTTGGTAATTGTCTTTCTGCAAGCTAGGCTCAGCTAGATTAGAGGCATTGGCTCCTGGGGAAGGGGAGGCTTTCACCAGAGGGTCCAGCGAATTGCAATCTATGATTACCACATGGTTACACTGGGATTCCCTGCGCCAGCTGAAAGCAGGCAAAGCTAAGCAGGGGCAGAGCTGCCCTTGATCAAAGGTGAACAGGAGCTGTTAAGAAACGCTTTCCTCTATGGACCTTGAGGAAATGAGTTTCTTATGGCCCCCAGAGGGCCCTGCAGGGCTGAGCGCTGGTCTGTGGCACAGGTTGACTGCTCTCAGCTCTCCCTGTTCTCTCCCTTGTGCCTCACTCCTGCTCTGTGGGCCACATTCCAGTAAGTTCCTCTGCAAGGAAACCTCTGTCTTAGGCTGTTTGCGAGGAACCCTGTCTAACCCTTGCTGCTGGGTGGCTCTTGGCCTGCTACTCCAGGGTCACTCCTATTGCTCATTCAGATATCAGCTCATCAGTTCATCATCAGGCCTTCCCTGATGAGCTGATCCAAAGTTGCAATCTTCTAACATCAGCTCCCCTACTTGAAATCTCTGCACAGTGGCTCTCACTAGCTGATATTTTAGTTTAAGAAAAAAAAAGGGGGGGATGTTATTGCCTATTTAAAAAAACAAATTGTTTTCGTTGTCAAGCATTAGGGTATCTGACACCGGAGAGGAAGGACCTACCCTGTTTTCAGCACGTTAAAACAGGTGCCTGCCACCTCGTAGGCACTGGAGAAATAATGGATTGCGTGAATACTAGAGTTTGCAAACAACCCAGGATCCCAGACTGAGCCAGAACCTAAGAGAATGGAATTGGGGTGGGATGGGGGGAGGGCAAAATGCATATCTTAAATTTAAATTTATTTAAAAATTACAAAAAGTGTCTTTACCCAAGTTGTCCAAGAAAAAAGTCAAAAGCAGCAATAGGGTCTCAGCCAACCCCCAGTAGTCTAACGCCATTTATAAAATTGAGCAGAATTTAGATGTGTGCCTCATGCCTCTGCAGACACGGGACCCTTTCTTCAGGTCCCTTTCTTTAGGGTCTGGGAGTACCATTAGGGGGCCACTCTCCGAAGCCTTTTTCCTTTGGACTCTGTGTAAGATGATCCGATAGACACCTGTGATGGAGCTCCTGGCGTCTCTCCCTTGGTTATTTCGAATATGCTCTTCTGTGATACCCAAGTGTTGTAAAGTGCTCTTGACCTCGTTTTCTTCTTCTTTGAGGGTGCTGGTTTCGGACAAATGTTTGGGGTCCAGCTGGAAAGGCTCCAAAGGGGTGGGGTAAAGCACCCCCTGCATCCACTCGTTGTTCATGATGGAGTCGATGCCCAGCCTGTCGGAGGGGCTGGGCTGGAGGATGCCTCTGATGAGGCGCAGGCAGGGCCCCGACACGTGCGGGGGCACACTGTAGGCACCCTCAAGGATGCTCTTCTTCAGTTTGGCCACAGTCTCTGCCCGAAAGGGCATGGTGCCGGTGACCACGAAGTACAGGAGCACACCCAGGGCCCAGATGTCCACATGCACGCCGACGTAGTGCTCGTCCCGGAAAAGCTCTGGTGCAGCATAGGGCGGAGACCCGCAGAAAGTGTTCAGCATCTCGCCCTTTCTGCTGACAGTGCTGAACCCAAAGTCACCCACTTTCACACAGGTGTTACTGGTGTAGAACACATTTTCTGCTTTCAGGTCTCTGTGAATAATTTGGTTTTCATGCTGTGGAAGAAGACATAGGAGATGGGGGTGGGAGAGGGAGATCATTTTCAAAACCAAATACACCAGGCCTCCCTGGTGGTGCCAGGGGTTGTCTCAGCACCATGAAGCTATCAGCAGCCACTGCAGCAGAGTTCCACCCCCAGCCAGGGAGCTGACCCACATAGCACAGCAGACCTCTCCTGCCTTGCCGGCTTCTCCCCTCAACAGTCTGTTTCAGTCCATCCAACTGTTCTGCTCCCCACTCTGTCTCTGGTGAATCCTCTCACCCCCTCCCCTGAAGCATACAACCCAGCTCTTAGATGCCTGGGTAAATAAATATTTTTTTTAAAGATAAAATGCACCCCCCCAAAAAAAAAAACTTCAGTTGCTCTGAGGTAGTGAGAAACTGTGTGTTAAGGGAAATTCAATGGCAATCACTTAAATCCTATCAAAATTGTGAGGCTGTCTTACCATAACCTTTAGCCTCATGCAATACTCCAACTTCCAAGGAGACCCAAGGTCTAGTCTTCTGTGGGGTGAGGCCAGGAGTGTGCCCTACAGAAGCGGACTGAGTAATGAGTGCCAGAAACAAGACCTAAGTCTTGTGAAACTACATGCTCACAACCAAGGAAATAGTAATCCTTTGTTTTTGAGGCCCTATGTGAGTTTTCTGGCAAGGTGAGCTCTTGACTAGAGCCAAAAGCAAGTAGGCCTGGCGGCCTCCTTCAACTGTCTAGCCATGTTCCTCTGGGTGGGCCCCTGTACCTTTATGGAAGTCAGTGGAAGGGAGGAGGTTCCTGTTGGCAAGGGTCTAGTGGCCGGTCCCACTGTGGGTTGGGTGCATCTGACCCCCACCCTTGCGTTCTGGATCCAGACAGGCGAACTTGAAGATCCTTGGCCTATTCAATCCCAAGGGCTCTTGGGAAATAGTTTAATGTGACATTTCCCAATGGACCTTCTGGGATAAGAATCCAGGCTTTGGAACCTGACAGTTTGGGCCATTCTTTAGATGACACAAGGTATACAACGTCTATCGTCCGACAGATTCCAGGTAGATTGGGAAAAGCTCTGAAAAAGCAGACTTTCCACTGCTAACTTATGTTATGACCTCCCCTTTTTGTATAATCGTAATATCAAAATATTCTGAGCAACTTTCAGTATACAGTTGGATTGCCTCAGCTGCATAAGGCCTGCCTGCCCTGACAAGCAAGCACTGCACCAGGGTGAGAAATTCCTCTGAAGTCAAAAGTTACTTGACAACTGGCTGATCAATAAAAGCAAAAGGGCTGTTTCTGATAGAGGAAAACCCAAATCTTATCATTCTACTATCTCACCTAGCCTTCTATTCAGCTTCTAAAGAATTACTCAAACTTCCTACTGTCTGGCCTTTAGATGTGGAAATTAATCCAGGTTGCCTGTTTTAGAACTCTTCAGGTCTTTTACCTTCTACACCTCAAAGCAATTCACAAAAGTATTCTGACTAGTCTTTCAGGATTCTACTATCTAGTCTTTAGATAAAGAAATTCACCTATGTCTCCTTTCAGAGCAAAGTATGCTTTCTACTGTCTAAACCTCAAGGAAACTCACTTAAAACCTTTTCCGAAATTTGATTTGCAAGAAATTTCCTCTTCCTGCCTCCCAGGATGTCTCAGGTAGGAAAAAACCATCAAGTACTAGATAAGGTTTAAGGGACTTTATTTTTATCAATCTTCACTATAGTAATATTAGTCCTAAACTTTGTGCACCTATGTACCTGTTTTTTAACCTTGATTGATTTTAGAATGTTATAATCTCAGGTAAAGGTCAAAACGACCCCAGACTATTCTTAGAAAAAAGGTGATGGTGATCCTAACCCCTTTTGTATGCTAATGTCATCCCTCAGCCTGCTTGAAATGTATAAAATAAACCTCTGCTGAAGGCAGAGCAGGAAGATTTGCACCCAACTCCGACTCTTGTGTCTTCCTCACTCCCGCTCCCCTTTACTCCCCAATTTTTAGAATATCCTTGCCGAAGTCGTTCCCACCTTGAGACCCTGCCTGTGTCAGCCACTCGACAGCCTGAAATTGGTGCTGGTCCCCGACATTTAGATGTGTGCCTCATAGGTTCAACACACCACAGGTAATCCGAGTGTTGGTTTTCCTTTGTCAAACGGGACATGGACAACCACTTCAGGAGCCGTAGTAAGAACTATGTGTGATTCTGTCTTTGCCTGGACCTGCCTGGCACAGAATAAACAACTTTGATAAAATACAGGTCTGTGTCTACGATGCACCCTTCTTTCTGGAGACCAGAGAACTGGGAGACATGTCAGGGTACTGAGCTTCCTCTGAGAACTCTATAAAAATGTCTTCTCAGAGGAACCTTCTATGGGGTCCTCTATTACTGGATTGTCTCTGCTCTCCCACTTGATTTTTTGTACCAAGTAGAATCTAGAAGACTCTTTGTGTGTTCTACTGCTTGGTGTGGGCCTGTCTTATTCCCTGGTCACCACGACACAGGCACAGAAAGAACCAGCCCGAAACTCATTTTGCCACCTGTATAGTCAGTCTCTCTTGCTTGCTTGCAGCCTCTCTGCCCCCACCTCCTCTTCCTCCCTACTGCTATCTTTGGCCCACTAGGTCACTAATCCCCCGGCTAATAATCTGGTCAAGAATTGTTAAGGGGAAGGATGTCCTAAAAAACTCTGCAGAGTCTTGTGGACTCCACTCCTACTCCAGCTTTCTGGATTCCACCCCCTACTCCAGTAACTGGAAAACTACAACTCCCAGCAGTACCAGGGAGAGAACTGTGAGGACCCAAGGGTGGAGCTAAGCAGGAATTCTGGGACTTTGGGGGAAAAATAGGAGTGGTTTTCCAACTGTAGCTCTGGAGAGATAACGGTTCTCTCTCTCTGGAGCAACTGCTCTCAGACCATGTGACTGGGGGCTGGGAGCTAGTTTGGGACTAAAGCTCCAAGTTAGCCAGCTGCTAAAATATTCCAGTTACTTTGTATCCCTCTCTCTTTCCCTGGGTTGTTTCCTTTTCCTTTCCCCTTTTTGTAAATAATAAACCCATTACCCTTTCTGTGTGTGCCTGCAGAAAATTACAATTTGAGCGAGTGGGTGAGGCCCCACAGACAGGCAGCCCAGTCCACTCTGGGCTACCCTGTAACAGAGTCACTAATCTCAATTGCTCCACAACATCCAGGCAGAAGACAACTAGAAACAGCCTCTCAACCAATCCAGACTCAGACAACTGGTTCTTATAATAGTCAGACTGAGATGTGGGTAAAGGGTTGAGCCAGACATTGCACTAACTAGAAGAGGGAAAGTGGTTAGGTGGGCTGCAAGTCAGTACCTCCTGTGGCAGCAAGGCAATATGGCCAGCAATATGGCAACAGTAGAGAGGACAGAGGCAGCAATCTTCTGAGAAGCCAGGGAATGTGCTCTGGGAGTCAATTTTTAGCTAAAGAAACAGTCAGAGAATGAAAATACAAACGGCATGATTGAGTGTGATTGTGAGGCTGCAAGGGGTGGAGATGTTCACCAAGGGCAGGAAGATGATGTGAGCTGCTGTGAGAGTGAAGGAAGTTTCACCAAGAGACAGAACCGAGCTGGGTCGCGACAGGTGGGATTTGTAGTGAGAGACACAGGAAGAGGCGCCTGACACAAAGAATGGGGAAGGCGGCGAGAAGCCAGCTCTCTGGGTAGTGGGAGACGGGGTTGGAGACATGGCTGACACAAGGAGCAGGGATGTTTGTCTGCCAACTTCTGTAGAAACCAGGAGGCTGCCGGTGCCCAGAAAACCTTCCTCCTGAGGCGCAGCAGGGTCCCAGCCAGACTTCTGGCTCTCACCGAGGGACCACTTCTGCCTTATAGGACTAAAGCCCTCTAGGAAGAAGAGATGGCAGCAGCCTCGAGTCCCCCACCCCCACTGTAGGGAGAATGGGACCAAGACTCTCCCTCCTCACCCCTGCTCACCATGTGCTTCACGGCAGACACGATCTGGGAGAAGATGAGCTTGCTTTCTGGCTCTGAGAGTTTCCCTTCCGTGCTAATTTTCCCAAAGAGCTCCCCACCCCCTGCATACTCCATCACCAGGTGCAGCTTGGATAGGGTCTCCACGACTTCATAAAGGCGGATGATGTTGGGGTGGTGCAACTTTTCCATGCTTGAGATCTCCCGGGATAGCAGCCTTTGGGTTTTCTGGTCTAATTTGGTCTTGTCCAGGATCTTAATGGCCACCTTTTCTGGAAAAAGAAAAGTCAAAGGATGATGCAGAATTCATAAGAGCAAAGATCCTTAGAAGCGGCCTAGCGAGGTCCCTTGCCTTACCTGGACTCAGAGGTTACGTGTCCGAGCTCAGTCCCAGCTCACAGAGCGCATCAGTGGCTATGACAGGTGGCAGCCCTTGAGTCCCTCTCTGTGGGGTCCTGGATCAGTGTGACATTTTGATACGAACCCCTGCCTCTCAAGGAGGTCTCAGTGTTCTGAATAAAAGTCAAACTCCTGGGCCCTCCCTGGTGGCACAGTGGATTAAAGCACAGCACTGAGAAGCTAAAGCCACTTCCACGAGTTCGATTCCCGCCTGCCCTGGAGGTGACCACATGGCGTGGCAGACCTCTCCTGACCCGCCCGCTGCTCCCCTCAGCAGTGTACCTCCTCGATCTGCCTGTTCTGCTCCCCACTCTGTCTCTGGTGAAGCCTCTCGCCGCCCCTGAGCCTCTGACCTGTACCCCAGTTCTGTATGAACAAATAAATAAATCTTTAAAAAAAAAAGTCAAACTCCTTCACTCAGCCAAGAGGGCCCTTCTCTATCAGACCCAAGCCGCCACCTCTGCCTCATCATCCACCACTTCCACCCACCAACCTTCTCCCCATCCTCCAAATACAGCATTTTTGCTGTTCCTTGAGAAGATATTCAGTATCCAAGCTTAGGATCGCTTCTCCACCTGGATCTGCTTGGCAGCCAGCTTGCAGTGATGCGTCCCTTGTGCCACCAGGGAGGGCCCAACCATTAATCTTAAAGAAATAATCTGCCACAGGTATAAGAGTATGTGTGCAAGAAGATGCCTGTGATATTGGAATAACTTAATTGTTCATGAAGAAGGCTGTTTTTAAAATCAACTGTCGGCCCTTCCTGGTGGTGCAACGGGTTGGAGCTCAGCACTGGGAGCGAGCCACAGCTGCTTCCGTGCGAGTTAGATCCCCTGCCCGGGAGGTGACCCACATGGCGGCAGACCTCTCCTGGCCCACCTGCTGCTCCCCTCAGCAGTGTACTTCATCAGTCAGCCTGTTCTGTTCCCCCACTCTGTCTCTGGTGAATCCTCTCACCACCCTTGTGCCTCTGGCCTGTACCCCAGTTCTGTAGGCATAAATAGACCTTTTAAAAAAATAAAATCAACTGTAGATTATCCATCTATCTCTATAATGTCATCGTCAAAATAATGAGGTTGATCTTTATTCCTGATGTGAAGAGATGTCCAATGCAGAACAGTAAGGAAAAAATGTAAATATACATATGCAAGAAAAGAGTCAGGTGTGATAGTCACCAAAATATTTAGAAAAGTCATATTATTATAGGAAGTCATAAGTGATTTTCCTTTAATTTTTTTGCTTATCTGCATTTTCTAATTTTTCTACAATCATATAGTTAAATTCTACAATGAACATAGATTAATTGTGCATGAAAGCAGCTTGCACTACTTTGAAAAACGAAGGACTCTCTAATGCAACACAAACCTGGCTCTTTGGTCAAACCAGACCAGATTTTCTAGTAATGAAGAAAGAATTTATCAGAACTTTCTGGGAAAAACAGAAGTGCGAAGTGTCTGCTTGACCTATTTGCAAAGCAGCTGTTTTGAAGAACTTTGTTGTGATGGTTATCAGCGGAATGGATGGCACCATTTACAATAGGAGTGGTCAGTATAGTAAAGCCCGTGCACTGGGCTTCTGGTACAGGAGGAGGCAGGTGCTGGGGCCGGCTGGGGCCAGCTCCCACCACTCCTGGGGGGAGGCCCTGAAGGCTCAGAACCCTGGTGACCTCTGTGGGAACCTGAGAGCCACTCCTGGTTGCGTCTTTCTTCCTGCATCATACAGGAATGCAGATTCCTTTCAGGTGTTCACCTGAAGAAGAAGAAACTTCTGGTTTTGTATAATTTGGAGGGTTCACTCTTACTCTTAAGGGCCAGAATGGTGAATTCCACCCTGAATCTGGCTTAATGCCTGGATGACACTTTGTTCCTCTTCAGGTATGATCCCTCTGGGCTGCAGGTTTCCTACCTGGAGGCAGCGGCACTCACAGTCCCCACTCTGTGAGCAGCTAAGAATTGGGAATTGGCTCATGGGGGGGCGGGGGGCAGCAGGGGGCCCAGCTGCTGTGACAACCTCCCTTTGCACACTGCTACCTTAGTCTTTTTTTTTTTTTTTTATTCATACAGAACTGGGGTACAGGCCAGAGATGCGGAGGGTGAGAGAATTCACCAGAGACAGAGCGGGGAGCAGAACAGGCAGATAAACGAAGTACACTGCTGAGGGGAGCAGCGGGCGGGTCAGGAGAGGTCTGCCACACCATGTGGTCACCTCCGGGGCAGGCGGGAATCGAACTCACACGGAAGCGGCTTTAGATTCTCAGTGCTGTGCTTTAACCCGCTGCGCCACCAGGGAGGGCCCTACCTTAGTCTTTTTAATTTTCTATGAGTGGTTCTTAGCAAAGGTCACCAAGATAGAGCCAGAGTGAGTGGGAAAGGACAGCCATAGGGGAGGAAGGATGTCATCAAATTCTGCGCCCCAGTACCTCTGGCCCCCACCTTCACGTTGTGTTAAGTCAGATTGTAGCCAAGCCTCATAGAAGAAGTGCATAATCATAACACATTTCAAATCTTATACACGGAATCACCACTAATTGATAGAAACTGCTGTTCTATAAAGAACTGGTTTCTGGGCCCTCCCTGCTGGCCTAGGGGTTAAGTTTCAGGACTATTACTTTGGCCTGAGTTCGATCCCTGGCCAGGGAGGTGACCCATATGACCCAGCAGACTGCTCCTGTCACACCCACTGCTCCCCTCAGCAGTGTATTTCAGTACATCTGCCTGTTCTGCTCCCCGTCTCTGGTGAAGCCTCTCACTCCCTGCACCTCCCTCTAGCTTGCATCCTAGTTCTTTCACACACACAAAAAAAGGAATTAGGTTTCTGAAGTCATATGCTCAACAGAGAGGCTCTGTCTGAGTGCCAACTATGCAGCAGTCAATGAAAAAGAGCAACACTATTCCTCTAGACCAGGGAAAGAAAGACCATAAAAAAAAAACTGTATACCTTAAAAAGTTGGTTTTTCTTCACAGTCTCCAATTCTCCCATTAGTAAGTCTTGAACCTAAGCGCTAATACTACTGAAATGCTCTCCTTGGAGTCATCAACGACTTCCCAGGTGCGGAAAACCATGAGCAGCTCTTGGGCTTCATCCCTTCTCTTTGAAACATCTTTATCACCCCGTTTCTCGGACAGCATGTGTTTCTGGTTTTCCTCCAACCTCTTTTCGCTTCTCAGGCTCCTCACCTGTGTGCTCATCTCCATAAGCTCTACATGTCAGGTACCTCAAGGCTTAGTTCTTAGACCTTCTCTCCAGTCACTTCCTTTGTGCGTAAATAAACCTTTCGGTTGTCTTAGTTTGGGTTAATTTTGCAACTGAATAGATGAGAAGTCTTTGGAATTGAAGAAGAAAGTCACTATATACGTTATCAATTATTTTCTCATCTTTCTTCTATCCTGCCCATCTCGCGGCCTCGCAACAGGATCCGACATGCCTCTTGCTTTTGGCTGAGAGAGCGGTCTCTGCTCAGAGCTCTGCTGCTTTCTACCTTCCTCTCCCCCCACTTCAGAGGTAGTACAGGTACATGCTCCCGCCTGGGCACCCTTGTGCTTCCTGTTCCCACTGTCTGGCCCCTTCTTTGTGTACACACGGCCAGCTCTACTTCTCCCAGCGCAGCCATCACCTCGTTAGGCCCCGGCCAACGTATCTGATGCTAGACTTTGAGGCTCCCTGTCCTCTTCCTGCTGTTTTCCTTTTTATCACTTACCACTACATAACATAATGAATGTTTTATTGACATTTTTTGTCTGTGACTCCCCAGTAGAATCACCAGCCTCTAGAAGAACGCCTGTTTCACAGTAGGTGTAAACAAATATTTGTTGAATGAATGATCACATTGAATCCTCACAAGAAACTGGGTAAGTGTGGTGCCCTGCTCTACCTATCTTCCAGGTTGCCAGACTTTTCATCATGATCTTTAGGGGCTATATGTCACCATCTCCCACCTGGCTTATGTGCTTTACTTTACTTGATCATTCCTGTTGAATCCCAAAAGTTATTTCTACATCTTTGCACTATAAATATTACTGCAATGAACTACTTTTTGTTACAGTAGTTCTAATGCTGAGCTGATTTTCAGGGTGGACTCACCAAAGCCACTTACTAACCATGTTTACCATGAGAAAATACAGTTTTAAATTTTTATTTAAATGATTATGTTCAAGAGGAGGGATCACTTATTATCAGTGGACTTTTTCTTAAGCTCTTGAGAGACCGAATTAGCTACCCAGCCCTGTCCTCTGAAGACCTCCACAAAGAACCTCCGAAAGTTGGTCCTCTCCTCTCTCCCATGGCTGCACTTCAATGAGAAGTCAGTACTCTGACTAACTCACCAGTGTTTGCTAAATGTTTTCTAAGGGTTGTTGATACAACATGTGACACCAAGGAGGTGGTGATCAGGACACTAAAGACTTTCCCTCTACTCTACTCTAGATTTGCTAACTGCCCCCATCTTTGTTTCCCATTCATACTTCCCCTTGGGTCCCTAGAGAAACGGCTGTGGGGCTCCTTCACTTCATGACCTCTGCAGATGTCACATCAGTGCTTTCAAATCTTCACTCTCAGATGCATTTCTTCTGCATTCATTCTTCATTGGATGCACCTTTTAAGCTAGGAACCTGGACCACATCTTCAGTTCTTCGTGATGCCCTCCTGTGTCACCCATCCTAAGGACCTCAAGGCTTTCCAGTGTTCTAAAATACTGGCCCCCTCTCCACTGCTGCTGCTTCCTCAATGGAGGTGGACATCATCATTCATCTGGCCTCTTTTCTTTTTTTCTGACTCCCTGACTCTTGTCACACCCCAATTCAATTCACTTTACTTACTGAAATCAAATCATATCAATCACTTGCGTTAACTTTTCCATGGTTCCCTATACCTAAAT